TATTGAAACTTTCTCTTTGGCATGTGAAGGATACGTCCGTAGGAGGCTAAAGTGTACAATGAGTTCAGCATGTTGCTAGGCCTTGAGTGATGCAGCGGGGGCTGTATTGACCTGGAGTCACAATCTAGCAAGTGTGTTTGCAGGAGGCAGAATAATGCACAGTTTGTTTAGCAGATCAGAGTAGTCCAAGGGGATGGTGGTCTCCGAAACGAAGAGAGATGTTGCTCCAACGGGACAGTTATCCAAGAGGGATAAGTCCCGGCTCTCCAAAGGGAGAATCATGTGGGACGGACCTCACAAGTTGAGGAGGAGTATCTCAACAAACAACAACTCCACGAAGCTCAATGGACTGAGCAAGCGGCGAGGAGTCATCGCATGATCTCGCTCGAGAGAGTGCATTGGTAGATGCATTACGAGATCAAGTAGGGGAGCGACCCAAAGCAATACAAATGAAGGCACACTTGGAGTCGATATGGAGATCAGACTCAAAGGAGGGCTGACCCGTGGAATGATGGGCACGAGGGCCACCATCACTCAATGCAAAAATGAGGAGCGGAGCAACTTGGGTGTAACTTGGCGAAGTACCCAAGCCGCATGAAGGGAGCCAGCATAGAAGATGGAACATGGAGCGGAGGCATAGTGCTTTCCTTGGACAGAGGTCAAGGATATGAACTCTTGCAGAGGCAAGAGCTGGATCATGTTGTTCCATGGGTCATTCATTCTGATGGAACGAATTCATCTTGCATGGTGCCAAAGACGAAGGGAGCTTCTGGGCACATGCACCTTATCTCAGAGGAGCATTTGATGGAGGAACTAAGGCGACTCAATTTGCGGAGGCGAAGTTGGGTTCAGAAGGCCTTAGCATGCGGCAAGAGGACTCAAAGGCGGGTACTCTTGAAGAATATGCTACATTGTTGCCATTCAAGTTGCCATGAAGGAAGCGGTGCGCAGCGGCGATTGTGCTGGTAAGGGCAGAGGCCCAGGATCCAAATAATGGTGCACTAATTACAGTAAAGTCGGTGGACTTCGGGAGCTACTAGGCGATAGACTGTCCTAGAGCGGTGCTTCATCTAGGTGTGACCCAAGAGTGGGTGGATGAAGGTCGATTGCCAAAGGAGTGAACAAAATCGAAGGTGGAAGAGACCTTGCGATGTATTGGAAGAGGCCACACATTGAGGGATCACAATTCGAGTTCATCCCATAAGGATCAGAATGTAATGGATATGTCACCAGGAGGCGACATAGTGCAGCGGATCATGGTGGAATAGTTCGTGGCAAATGCGATACACATGACATAGTCCCGTGAGGGACTAGATCATACCGAGGTATGATCGGGAGCTACTGGAAGCTCCACTTCGGTGAACAACATGACGATAAGAAGGGCTATGAATTCAAGGAGCGAAGGTCATGGTACCGCAGAGGCGGGTCTTCCGTGCGTGCATCGAATTTTGCATCGGATGAAAACCTTGGTCATCAGCATATGGGGGCTGGGTTCCACCAAGGGAAAAGTTCGAATGCAAGTATCAGTGAGTCCCATGGGAGGGACTTGATCATACAGAGGTATGAACGAAGCAGTTGGAGAGTTGGACTGCTCCAGAGCTTATATTCGCTTAAGGGAGCCCGGCAAGTCAGAGGACAAGGTCAAGTAAGCGAACATTGCTACCAAGGAAGCTAAGGAGAACAGAATCGGTGCAAACCCTATAATGCGATGGCAGAGGCCATGCATGGGAGTTGCAGTCTATCTTTCCATCGACCAAAGGGAGCTGCTTGGAGAACACAAAGGTGTTGAAGCAGGGGGTCGAAAGGGGCAAGGAAGTGACGACGAGTCCAGAGGGACTTAGCTACCCAAAATCAAGCATCAGTTAGAATGGAGGTGGACTCAGAGGAGTGCCACAGAGACATATCTACTGATCGTGAAGAAAAGGGATGCAGATGTGAGGCGAAGGATAGTAGGGCCATGGGCATGGCAGCGCCATAGTACCGCAGAGGTGGGACTTCTGTGAAAGTCTTTGATCCCTTGCTCTTATGGAGGGAGAGCACTTGGTCGTGAAAGGGGTCGAGGAGGCGGAGCATGTAGAGGCAAACTCCAACTACCGTGACAAGGTTGAAGGGCAGAGGCCAAGGAACTTCGTAAGACCGGTGTCAACAAGTTTCTCATCAAGATAGCCGAAAGTGAAGGACTTCGGGTCATGCAAGAGTGCATAACTAAGGAACGAAGCAGGTAGTACGTAGTGTTGTACCTTCGCTACTCAGGGGAGTAGGCGGCAGGGTTGATGGAAAAAACGGTACAATCCTAGAGGCGACCAAATCTATTAGAGAATTACTCCAAGTTGGGGTGAAAACTTCCTGCATTCCAGAAGTTCGATGGTATTGAGAAGGTGAATCACAGTAGTTAACTCAACGCAAGGAGTGCAAACACTTCAAGTGCTTCAGAAGTGTGAGCAAAGAGCAGGCGAAGGTCAGTAATCAGCTCGATGCATGGAGTATAACCTCGAGGAGGCGGGCGAAGTCAAGTAACCTTTGCCTTCTCAACTCTTAAGAGAATGGGCAAAACTGAGTGCCCTAATTCTCTTATCTATCCAGTAGAGGAGCTCTACATATGTTCAAAGACCCTTCGAAGATAATAGAAGACAATAGTTGTTAAATCCTCACCAACGGTGATCAGTATTACTGAGAGTAGATTGTCCGCTTCATTTCCCAATGAAATGCCAATCGAAAGCGGAAGTGATGCGAACCTACTTAGATGTGACAACTAAGTGAAAGAAGAGTCAATGAGCAAATATTGTGGAGGAAGGACCCAAAACTTCAGAAGTTTGCGAGACGATATTCGTTAAAGCTCCAACAAGCATCCACCTAGTTCAAGCAGCATGAGACATTTGAGAGACTGGCGCAGTAAGGATGGTCTTTTCCTTCATCTGGAGGATCCGCAAGAACCAACAGGGATCAACACAACTCAGCCAACCCCACACTAGAGTTAGAGTCATTGGCGAGTTGAAGTAGCATGGCGGATCAAAGGTTCGACTACTAAAAAATAGCAACGGAGAGCAGTTGGGAGCCAAGAGGCGCATTGCAGCTAGAGCAGAAGATTGAAGACTCAGCAAAGGCGAGGAGTTGCAGTGTCGACAAAGGCTTCGACGAGGACGTCGAAGGAATAAGTGGGGGAGAATGTCACGGACAAACTTCTAAACAGGATGTTTGATGTAATCCTTATGAATGTCCGTGTCTTTTGGTATATTAATACTTTGCACAGTATGTAGAGAGACGACCGAAGGCTTAATAGTCCCATTTTAGTTAGGTTGGTGGTCGTTTTAGGCTTGTAAGTAAAGGTTGTCATGTGGATACGTGCGAGAGATTTTTGATCTATAATGGACCATTTTACCCTTTGTTGTGTAACTGTTCAGAGCTTGTAAAGTCTGTTTGTAATTTGCATTGTCTATGAAGTGTTTTCGGAGATGTTTGCTTGTAGATCCCGAGTGAGGCGTTTTCTCTATCTTGTTCTCTCTTTTGTGGGTTCTAAGGGACCATGGGAGGCTTCGGGGAGGCTGACCTTTGCGGACGGACATGCAAGGGTGCCGCATGACTCAGGCAAAACCAACTAAGTCCGTGACAGTAGTTCGACTACACATGTGCATGAATAATGTGGTGTCGTTGAGATGAAGTTGGAGGTCTTTTGAGGTCATTGTGGGTGTGCTTATTAGCTCCAACGATAATATGAACGAAGATCGAGGTTGAGTGTGAGTTTTCTGATCTAATCCCTTCGACGTCTAAGTTAGTTTTGAAGTGAGGTGAAGTAAGATGGAATCGATAAAAAGATAACCGACCTTGATTCGCATGTTAGAGATAGACTTTTATATCGGGTAAAAATAAGATGAAGCATTTTAGATAATATATTTTAAGAGGTAACGTTTGTTTTGTACTAATGTTCATGTGCACGAATCAAGGATGTAAGTCCTATCTCTCCTATGTCACCTTGATTATCATGTGTTAGATGATGATTGATTAATAATATTTTACTTACTACTATATATATATATATTAAAAAATTTAAAAATTTCAATATATGAGAGGAAACTGACCGTTTCTGTGAGTTTATCCAAACTCACAATTTCTATACATAGTATCCACTCACATTCAATAACGTAAGTATAGAATAATTAAAACCTAATTTCAATAGTTGTTTTGCTTGATACATAAGTTTTTACATATTTGGATTTCTTGTTCTTCAACCATACTGATTTTATAAATCCAAAAATATTTATCAATCTCAGTATTTCTTTAAAGAAAAAATATATATTACTCGACTGAGAAAAATACAGAGGAGCCTTTCACATCAAAATGCAAGAGCTAATCGAAGTCCGGCTGGTTCGGACGGGAAACGAGACGGACGCGAAGCTTACCAGACTCGGACCCTTTCTGCAAATCCAACGGCTGACATGCCCTTTGATCTTCTAGCACTAATTTCTTTGATTCACATAGAGATCTCTTTATATGCTCGAGCCCCAAAGGAATTATATCTTGCTATCAGATTCCTAGTTGTGTCCGCTCTTCCTTCCGGCGATGGACGGCCACCAAGCCCCTCGCAAGGGCGACGACGCCGACGACGATCGCTGGAGTGACGCCCTCGATTGCATCCCCTCTCCTCTCTCTCCCGCCTCACCTGCGGCACCTGCCGCTGCCCTCGCCTCCCTTCCGGCCCCTGTGGAACCAGGCGAGCCGGACGACGCGGAACGGCTCGCGACCAAGCCTGACCTCCCTGACCCTTCCTCTCTCCAAACACCCGACGTAATGGCGCCCGCCGTGGCGTTGGCCGCTGCCGACGAGCTTCCGCCGTCCTCTACCTCCACCTCCTCAGACGACGACGATGACGCCTCCGCCCGGAAGAAGCAGCGGCCTCTGTCCTCCTTCGTCTCCCTATCCTCCTCCTCTGCCGCCGCCGTGCCGCTCCCGCCGCCGCCTCCTCCCGCCGCCACCACCGCCGCGAAGAAGCCTAAGAAGAAGAGCAACAATGTCTGGTCGAAATCCACCTCGCGGAAGGGAAAGAAAAAGGGGAAATCGGGCAACAACCACCACGCCGCCTCCGTGGAGGACACTGTCCTCATGACCCCGGTTCCCCGGTTCCCGGACAAGACCGACGACACCCCTGAGGCGAAGATATGCCTGTCGAGGGTGTATAAGGCGGAGAAGGTGGAGCTCAGCGATGACCGGTTGTCGGCCGGCAGCACCAAAGGGTACCGCATGGTCCGGGCCACCAGAGGGGTGCAGGAGGGTGCGTGGTACTTCGAGATCAAGGTGGTGAGGCTGGGTGAGACGGGGCACACAAGGCTCGGGTGGACGACGGAGAAAGGGGACCTCCAGGCACCGGTGGGGTATGACGGGAATAGCTTCGGTTATAGGGACATTGATGGCACTAAGATACACAAGGCACTGAGGGAGAAGTATGGGGAAGAGGGGTATACTGAAGGGGATGTCATTGGGTTCTACATTAATATTCCAGATGGAGCTTCGTATGCACCGAAGCCTCCTCACTTGATCTGGTACAAGGGGCAGAGGTACGTGTATTCGGTTGATGGGAAAGATGACCCTCCAAAAGTTGTGCCAGGTTAGCTCTTCCTCTCAATAGTTACAATATGAAGCTATTTTGCTTAGGCTTCTATTTGCTTTGCTTATTAGTTTTCTTGGAAGCTGTGATTACCATCAACCAAAGCAAAGATTATATACAGCATTTTTATTGAGATAACCTTTTGCATGCTTATCTTATGTTTTAACTGTCTCATTGGCTATAAAAAAGAAAATTTAGTCTCCATATGTTTATCTTCTTCATTTTACTGTTATCTGCTTGTCAGGATAATTTTTAGTATAGAATGTTGTTCTTGGACCTCACAGTATAAATTGTGTAGCTGAAGTACTACTTCCCGAATTGAAGTAGTATTTATGTCTGAGAGCCAGATTATGGTTTTATGGTGTAATTCTGTTCTTAACAATCATATCCTTAATAAGTGTCCGTTAGTTTTACATTGCAAATTTTGTATTGAGTTTGTGTTGATGATAAAGTTCGTTTGGAGGAGGAGGTTCTTGAGTGAGCAGATGATTATTATTTCTTGTATGGCTGATGGAAACAAATGACTTCAATAACGATGATGGAGCTACCAAATTGGAGGATTTTGAGGAAATAAAGAACATTGTGTGGTTGGTGATAAGAAAAATTTATGATACCAGCCTTAGGAATTTTGGCCATGATTCTATGTTCCCTAGTGGATAAAAGTTATGACCAGTTTGCTTAGGTTATCCTAGACTTACATTTCCTGTAATTGGTCTATTTGCATATCAATTTGTACTGGAAATGGGCAATATGCTTAGTTGTAGGTTGATCTTGCTTCTTTCTTATTGTTAGTATAACTTTGCTATCTGTTAAACCTTGTGGGAAGAGCTTATAGTGTATCATAATAATCCCAACTCTTTACGTATTTGCTGATGGATGTTGTTCATACATGAAACATCTGATGATAGAGAGAGCTTTCACATTATTTTTTGGAGTTCACCACATATCTCATCTTTTCCCTCCTTCCCTGTTGTTTTTCAGTGTTCTTCTCTTTTTGGTTGCAATTTTTTACTTGTATCTCATCTTAGTTTCTTTTTTTTTTTTGCTCATGGATGCATCATGTTTTTTTCTTTTGCAATAATATTCTGTTGGACATGTTTAATTTGTGCTGCCTTTCATAAAAACTAGACATGACATGTATGTCATTCAACATAACATTTGTATACCATGGTATTGTGCTAGGCATGTTAAGGTATAACGTTCAGTGAGGCTCAGATTTTGCTTTGTCTCAAATGTAGGCTACATGGCTTCACAAGGCATGCCTTGTGCACCTTGCCAGAATCCCAAGAGTCTGAAAGTGCTTTCACATAATAATAAACTTGTCTTTGACCCTGAATGCCCCCAAATATTTCTTACACTTAAGTGATATAGGACTGGAATCTATACAGTTGAATTATTGCCTTTTTGCAATTTACACCAGCTATTACTTGAGCTAAAAGATACTTTCTTACAATTATTTGCATATATTGGTGGTGTGGAAATCTTGATTTTTATTTACTTTATTCTTAATATCTTTTTCATAGAATTTTATATAAGACTAACTGGTTGCTTGAGGATGACCAATCTATCACAATTTTGTTCTTTATTTCTCAAGACAATGCCTATAATTCCAATTGAAAATAGCCTGAAAGACATTGTCTAAATTTTGTTTTCAGTTCTAGAAAGTTGTATTTTCTCCTCTCTCTCTCTC